AAACAAAAAACCCAAAAAAAAAAATCACAATTTTTGCTACTAAAAAAAAACCAAAAAATCGCAATTTCTGAACTAACAGAAAACTCAATTGTATATATAGAATATTTTTATATAATAAACGTGATGTTTTCTTAGTTGATCATTGAAATTAATATTATCTATAATTTTAAGTTTGACCAAATCATATCAAAATTTTATTTATCATGACCACCTATTTGCAATCCTACCACACCAGATCGAATCTCTATTCCTTTCTTCCATAACCATCTATTTAAACTCTTACCACACCGTATACTTAACAAGCTACACACAAAATATCAAAATACAAACCCATACTCTTGGAACAATTACAATAAAAAAAGATTTGATATATACAAATAAAAATAATAATAAACTATTAATATAAAAAATAAAATAACAAAAATGCAAAAAAAAAAAAGAAAATTGTTTTTTTTAAATAAATTTTAATATTGTTATTTTTTAAAAAAAACAACAGATTTTAAGAATACAGAATTGTTTTTTTAAAAACACACATAAAATTAAGAAAACAAAAAACCAAAAAACAAATTCACAATTTCTGAACTAACAGAAAACTCAATTGTAAATACATAATATTTTTATATAATAAACGTGATGTTTTCTTAGTTAATGATTGAAATTAATATTATTTATAATTTTAAGTTTAACCAAATCATATCAAAATTCTATGTATCCAATCATATATCCACAAGATGCTTTCAGAAGAGAACTTTCTGAATTTTTTATGCAAAATACAGTGAATTTTCATAAGAGAACTTTCAAAAAAAATTATGTAAAATACAGTGAAGTTGTTAAGAATTTTTCAGTGAAATCAAAACAAAATGTAAAATGCAATGAAGATGTAACTGCTTGAGGACTGGAGACGTGGGGAGTGGGAAGTGGGAAAGTGGAATTGGTTGTTTTAATTTATCATTTTACCCCTAATTAAAACTAATGTAAGTGTAAGAAATTAAGATCATTTTAGGAAAAATTGAAAAAAAAAAATTCTGTGAGGTGGCTTCATGACACCAAAATCACTATTCTCATTTAATAATAGAATAGATAAATGTCATTTTCCAAACAAGGTGTACCACTCGAATCAATTTACGATCTCAACGTTTGGAACCCCACTGCTGGAAGAAGGATGCCTTGCAAGTGGGGCATCTAGAGATGTGTCCTTTCGGCCAAGCCAAATCAATTTCGGGCTAATGTCATGGTTATACTATGCTCCAATCAATCATCACCCTGTCAATAGCAATACCTCTCACTATATATAGATACACACACGTATACTCAACTCAACAACATCCCGGGCTAGCTATCTCTCTCTCTCTCTCTCTCAAAAAGAAAAAAGAAAAAAAGAAAAGAAGTAAATTAATGGGAGGTGGAGGAAGCATCCCCCTCCCCGCGCCTGGCCCCTTCCCAGTCCCGGTCCCACCGTCCCCGTTCCCAGAGTGGCCTTTCCCCGGCCCCTTCCCGCCACCGGAACCGGATTTCCCAGTCCTGGACCCACCGTTGCCCGCCGACGTCCCCCTCCCGCTACCGTTTCTGTAATCGGAACCGGAATGGGAATCTGAATAGACAGTAATTATATATATATATAATTAGCGAAGATCTCGCCGAACTCCGTCGCCGTGGTGCAGCTGCTTGAATCAACCTTACCGATGTTATGTCATGTGGTATCTATCTATCTCTCTCATTCATTACATGAGAATGAGATTATGTATGAAGGGGCTTGATATATATATATATAGACAGATCGTTGTAATAAACAGTCTGCGGACTGCCTCACTGTAGGTGGTGGTGAGGATGGTCATGTGTTGGCTGCTTTGTAAGAGTGTAGGCTTTGCCAAGTGTGCTGTGTTTATAGCTATGTGGATTTGTCCTCCAAAATATATGTACACTGTTATGTATTTCTCCAAATATATGTAAATATATATATATATTATGTTATGTGTAGGTGTTCATGTATTTTGTCATTGTATATATTTTTTTTTTCTTTTTTGGTGAATTATACTAATAATTTTTATATTTCGTCACTGATGCTGTTTTAATTCTTGCACATTGAATTAATTCGATTTTAATGTTTAATTTTAAATATTGTATTTAATTTAGTCAAATTAATCACTATGTTTGGTTATCACTTTTCAAAAATACTTTTCAAAAAATTCTACTTTTTATTTTTTGTTTTTTTTTTATTTTTACTAAATTTTTTTAATTTTTTGACATACCTAACATAAATATACCTAAAAAGTAAAAAAAAAAAAATTTTAAAAAACCTTTTAAAAATTCACTAAATACCAAAAAAATAAAAAAAAAATACGAGAATTCAGCCTATTTTTTGTATTTTTATGTATTTATTTATTTTTAAAAATATTTTTTCACAAATTTTTTACTTTTTAGATACATCTAAGTAAGGTGCATCTAAAAAATAAAAAAAAAATGTTTAAAATTTTAAAAATATTCACTAAAAACAAAAAAACACGAAAACCAAAAAACTCTGTTTTCAAAAAACTTAATTCAAAAAACTCAAACCAAACACACTGAATACTGTTGGTTAAAGTTTTGACGAAAACTGATTATTAAATTGGTTGAGGTTGACTCCCTAATATAAAAAAAATTACAGTATAATTTTACCTCTAAAAGTATGATTTTTTACGTGTGTTTTTTTCATAAAAACCACTAGTGAGAGAAATTATTTAAACTAAATTGATACAAAATTACAAATTTAAAATTAAAATCGGATCAATTAAAATTATACAAGGATAAACAATAGTAGTATCAAGTAATTTCAAATAATACGTATCGATTCGGGTGAGATAGTTTCAATCACTACAACATATAAGAGTTTTAGAACCCAAATATTTTGGTCTCTAAAAACAAAAATTTTGTTGCAAAAAACATTTAGGAACCAATTTTCATCGTCATGAGGATAGTCGTTAAAAGGTCATCTCGAAAAGTCAAAAACAAGGCTTTCAGTAACAAAATTTTGAAAATGTCACTAATAAATAGATTTTTAGAGACAAAATAATTTGGTCTTAAAATAGTTTATTTTTTTAGACAAAATTTGGTCCCAAAATGATAATAATTAAAAATATAATAACGGTACTTTTAGCAACAAAATTATTTGGTCCCTAAAAAATAATTTTATCTATAAATTTTGATCTCTAAAATCTTAATTTTTTTTATAGTGAATTGATGTTTGTAGCCTACGAATTGGACTGGTTTTTGTCCGAATCGTTGCAAGAATTCGATTCATACTAGGCCAGTTTGTGTGGGATATTTGTTCACACCGATAACCCGGTGAGTATCCAAATTCGAGTACTAAAAAATCAGATTGAGCCGGCCAGTTTTTAAATCAATGTTCAACAATTTGACCTGTTGATTTTCTGAGTCAACGTTGATTGTCATCCTACAAAAATGAAATTGATCTAACAATTACAGTAATATTTTTTTTAAAAGAAAAAAAGAAAAAAAGAAAAAAAAAGAAAGAAAGGTAATCTAATTTCAAAATCATGCATGTCATCTATTTTTTTTAAAAGACTAATGTGTCAAAACCATAGTAGCAATTATCAATTTTTTTTTTAATAATCTACTCAACATAAAAAAAAAAATCAACCAACTAAATCGTTAAAATGGTGCTTGTGGTAGGACCACGGCTCTGAAATAGACCTGGTGTAGCGTGAAGACAAACGTCTATTTTTTCTATATATACATTTAAGAAGTTATAATGTGCACCTCTAAAAAGGTATATATGACATGTACTTCATAATTTTTTTATGGGTAAATTATATTTTATATTCCTATTAGCGTATGTATGTGTCTAAAGACACGGTGTAAATAATATTAAGATTAAAATACAGTTATAAAAATATATTTAACAGACTGTACTTTTTTTTATGGGTAAATTATATTTTATATTCCTATTAGCGTATGTATGTGTCTAAAGACACGGTGTAACTAATATTAAGATTAAAATACAGTTATAAAAATATATTTAACAGACTGTACTTTACAATTCTAAACAAATCAAATATAAGAGCAACTAATTAAGTCAAATCAGATGTTTTGTGTTCCATTGAGAAAAAAGGCCAAGAAAAAGTTTGGGTTGTTTGTTCTATAGTGGGCACCATTAGAAAGTGCTTGTCCTTGGACTTATAATATTGGGTTTTGATGAAATGTTGCAACCTGTTACACTGAAATTGAGATCTCCATTTTCTTGCCACAAATGGAGAGGAGCCAAACCAGAGCAATAACCAAATTAAGAAATTTCCATAATGTGATTTAAATTTTATTAAATATAATAAAATTAAATTATTAAATTATTTTTTTAAATCAGCTTATATTTTTTAAATATCATCATTTATAAATTATTATCCAAACATATCATTTCTTATTTTTATTTACATCGCCTCATCTTATTGAAAATTAATTTTGTTCACATTTTGAAAGTAATGTAAACATTTTATTGATTCAAAATTATGGACCTGTCATCCAAAAGCATATTAATTTCAGTATGTAATGTTCTGTATTAATCAAAACTAAACTACCTCCCTAAGAGCTCCAACTTCTATAGCTAATCCATATGTGAAGGTATAATGTTATCATGAGACCACCAGGCCCTGTGATTACAAATTATCATACCAGAAGCCCCTATGAAAATTAATTTTGTTCACATTTTGAAAGTAATGTAAACATTTTATTGATTCAAAATTATGGACCTATCAACCAAAAGCATATTAATTTCAGTTTCTAATGTTCTGTATTAATTAAAACTAAACTACCTCCCTAAGAGCTCCAACTTCTATAGCTGATCCATATGTGAAGGTATAATGTTTTCATGAGACCACCAGGCCCTATGATTACGAATTAAGATATACGTAATTAAGTCACAAAAATGAAGTGTAAATAACAATCAATAAAATGTTTAATTAAGTCACAAAAAATGAAAAATAAATTATTAAATTTTTTTTAATCAGCTTATATTTTTTGAATATCATCATTTATAAATTATTATCCAAACATATCATTTCTTATTTTTATTTACATCGTCTCATCTAATTGAAAATTAATTTTGTTCACATTTTGATTCGTAATTTTGAATCAATAAAACAATGGGGGTTCGAAGCCCCCACATCCTTCTTCGAATTAAAAAAGCATCATCATTGACTTTCAGCTATTGTTAAGGAAAGGGCTCCAAATTAACTCTAAGACTTGGTTCTCTGCTAGTGCCTTGAAGAGCACACAACTGTCACAATCGATCAAGCAGCTGGCACATTAGCTAATTTCATTCAATCATATAAACAGCAAACAAGAAAGAAATGAAGAATAGAAAGAAGAAAAATACTGAAATAAGTCTAAAATGTCTGATGAATACAAATTGTCCAGCATCTAGGGTCTTGGGATCTAGGTCTTCTTTCTGTCTTTTCTTTCCCTTTTCTTTTTTCTTTTTCTTTTACTTATAATAATCACAGATCTTGGTCATGATACCTTAGATTAAACCAAAGATGTGACTTTGAATGAAGTCATATGGACAATGATCCACATAGCCAACCAATAATTGGGATTAAGGTTTTTGTTCAATTGACTACCATAGATGTAGGTCATGTTCGAATAGCCATATTTTCAGATAAACAAAATTGATGGCCCATAAAAGTGCCATTAGAGAGAATTTTTTTTCACAAAAATGTATCTGATTCATAAAATTACTTGTTCCCCTAATTCCACTATTTTCTCTGTTACTTAACAAAAGTAGGGGTATATAATATTTATTTACCAAATGTTGATCAGCAGATTTCTACTATATAGCACAAAGAATCCCAAAGATGATATGAATAATATAAATTTGAGCACACATACCACACAATCGCTATCTACAAAAACCAAATTAGAAATCTGCTAATCAACATTTATGTTTATCATCATTTCTGGTTCATTTCTGTTTATCATCATTTCTACTGATCAACAAATTGTAGAAGGTAAAATGGCTTGAAAGCGCGTAACAGAAGAAAACCACCATTCTTTGCTGCTGTGAAACTCATCATGGATGACGCACAGTAGCATATTTTTATTTTCACTTCCTTTTCTTTCTTTTTTTTTTTTTTGAATTACTTATTTTTGGTTGGAAAACTTCCAGTAAAAAGATATGAAGTGTTATATTTATTGTTAAATACTACTATTTCACTTTCTAAACGAACCTTTATCATGCAATCCAGAGATGGTTGCTTTTTTTTGTATCTGCACCAACACAATTGAAGCAAATAAAATTAAGATATAGGTAATTAAGTCACAGAAAATGAAAAATAAATAACAATCAATTCAGCACATATACAGTTGGCTAAGAGAGATTTGAGCACACATATATCATCATTTCTATTTAAACTTGAAGCATAGAACCAAACAATAAACCATGAACCAAAAATGATGATAAACATAAATGAACCAGAAATAGAAATGATGATAAACCAGAAACCATGAACCATCAACAATTGAAGTAATTTCATGTGAGAGTATTTAATAAAAAAACAGAACCAGATAGAGAGAAAATAGCATAGGCAAATAGTTCACAAAACCCACAAATTTTTGATAACCACCAAACAAAGCCCTGTTTGTATACCAAGAAAATGGCATAGGCAAACAACTAGATAGAGAGATACAAACCAATTTACAGAAGCTGTTTGATTAGCAAGCCAGTGAAAGTCAAAAAAATTATGAGAAGAAAATGAAGGGGAACAGAGAGAGAAAGGAAATAAAGACAGAAATCTTACCTTGCACAGATAGAAGCCTCAGGTTTGGTGTAGCTCTGAAGTAGCTCTGTTTCACCAAAATAATAAACCATGAACCAGAAACAGAGATGACGATAAACCAGAAACCATGAACCAACAATTTAAACTTAAAGCATGGAGAGAAAGAGAAAGAGAGGGAGAGAGGTACCAGAGAGCTCCAATGGGGGTTCGAAGCAGAGAGAGAAAGAAAAGATGACGGCGGCGACTATAGTGGTGAGAGGAGCCAACTCGGTGAGCCAACTCGGTGAGCCAATCGATGCACAGTTTCGCGGTTCTTAATCGGAAACCCTAGCCTTAAAAAAGTGAGTAGGAGGGTTACGAATTGAAGCCACTGAGAGAGAAGGGGGAGAGGCAGAAATCGGGTGAGAGAGAAAGAAAGAGGTAGCGTCGGGAGCGAGTGCAGAGAAAGGGTAGGAAAGAAGAGGAACAAAGAGGGAGATAGAGATAAAGAGTGAATGAGATGAGACGTGCAACAGAGAGGGAGATAGAGATAAAGATGGAATGGAGAGGAGACGTGGGTATGTGGGAGAGAGAGAGAGCACCGAGTGTTTGGGCGGGAATCAAAGAATCATCTCAACCATTGATGTTTATCACAATTGATCTGAGCCCTTAAAATAAAATGTATCAGAGATACATTTTATATATTTTCAAAAATCGTTCTGTTTTATTATATAGATATTTTGTATTAAATCTCACTTGGTCCTTACACATGAAATCGGGGGCAATCAATCCCCTACACTTCTAGTCAAATGCCAATGTATCCCTTATGTTACTCGATTGTTTATGTTTTTAAAATAATCCATTCATGTAACAAATATATGACTACAAAATGATGGCAAGAGAGGACAATCATTTTTATTTCCCACTAATACACATTTCATTCTAAAATTTACATCAAAATATGATTATATTCAACTAAAACAAAGCGTTAATTGTGAACAATTAAGGAGATAAACTAGGGTTTTGTAGAATTCAAAATCATGAAGCTCTGTTTTCCACAGTAACTCAGTTTTTCATCTATTCATCTTTCTTTCTCTTTGATTTCTCTCTTGCCTTTTCTTATTTCAAAAGTTTTATTTTCTTGCCTCTCAATCCCTATTTTAAGCATTTGACTATATATATATTACATTATATAACTCTCACATACATATCGCGTGGAGCAAAGTGTGTATTGGTGGGAAATAATGGTAATTTTATTCTCTTGCCCTCATTTTCTAATCACATACTTGTCCTATAACTAGATTCTGTTAAAGACTTAGAAGGTGTTTGGGAGGTGGTTATTTTAGTTAACTTTTTAAATTTTACAAAAAAAAAAAAAAAAAAAAAAAAAAAAGAAAAAAAAAGACCGTGTAAAAAAATAAAGAGAGTGATGTGATTAAATATTTTGGATTTTTAACTATTTTAACCAAAAAGCCAACATCCTAAACGGAGCCTTAAACAATGAAGTAACATAAAGGGAAGCATGGAAACAAGCTTCTATTTTTTCTATATATATAAGAAGTACACGATTGTAGGGTGCGTTTCCACACATGTTATACCGACTTGCTATCCCACATCAATAGAGTCACCAATTAATTTTTAAGGGAAACTAAGAAACCTTTAATATTTGTCATAACCAAATAATCAAGGTTTAGGAACTTAGGTACAAGAGAGGAGGATCATTACATGATGCACCCCCTCTCGCCCAATCAAGTAATTAGCCTCTACTAATATTTTGTTTTATGAGCTATAATGATTAATTGTGGGGACATAAATTTTGAATGACAACACGTAGCAGAGGTGTCACCGAAGTGCCAGTCGAGGTGCCACGTGTCCTGGTCATGATGCTGAGATGATCTCGGCTAGGCCGAGGTTATCTGCGAGAATACCAGAATCTGGGATAAGCGGATAAGGAACAAGAGTCCTAGAATGGGAGAAGACTTCAGTTTGGGTAAAGATAAGACTCTTAGAGGGTTTATCCTAATCCTACTGGGAGTCCAAGATTAGCAGTAATCCTAAGTCCATTGAAGCTAGGCTTCTATTGGGATTAGGTAAGTGTTGGCTATAAAAGAGAGGCACCCCCATGGGTCTAAGGTATGTCTTTTATGCTCTGTCTAGTGAGTTAAGCACTTTTGCTATCTTTGAGAGATATTTTACTGACTTGATCGTCGAAGTGCCCCCTGGAGTACGGAACACTGCGGGATTTTTATCTTTCTATGACAAGTTGTTCATGCTTAATCTATTCTGCCAGTGCTCTCCAGCTGAGTTCCCCCTTTTGGTTGTGTGGTCAGAAATCAACACCCACAATTTGGCGCCGTTTGTGGGAAAGAAAGGAGAATAGATGGCCAACAACAAACAGAAAGAGAAGGTTGGGAACGACATTCCTACTGGAAATGGGAAATATGTAGACCTTGACGTCGAAGAAGACAACTGCAACGAAAAGACTCGTGATAAGAATCACAGAGAAAAGGACATCAGCCAGGAGGGCGACGTGCCAAAGAAATCAAACCGAGGCGGGTACTATAACGAAGACGACCTCCAGGTATGGAAAGATAGATGCCTACGAAGGGACGGTGAGATGAAAGGAATGGCAGACAAATTGTTGGACCTGCAAACAGCCGTCAATTTCACGATGCAGAACAACGTCATGCAGCCACTGTTCCCGTTACAAGATACGCCGATTCCAGCGGCCAAGAAAAATGCCCAGAAAGGGGGGCAGAAAATTGTTCCTGCGGTCCCTAAGCACGATAGGACTAAAGGACATTCTCACCTGCCTTCACAGGAGGTTCAGCGTGGAGAATCAACGAGAAGAGAATCCCAGAAGACATGTCGAACCCAAAAAGACTGCACCACAGAACATCGAGATGTTTAGGAAAAGGAGCTCGGTGTCGACACGACCAATGGAGGGAAGTCCAAAAGGACCCACAATGACATTGGAAGTGGTGCACCAAAAAGGCTGAAATCTGGGATAGCTGAACTCCTGGACGGACCAAGGAGGGTCTAAGGGATGACCTCCAAAGGAAGCAGCAAGAAGCCGAGGTAACTTCTTCGGTCAAGTCAAGAACGTCGTTCTCGGTAGAATTGGACAAATTTGAAGCACCGAAGAGGTTCCACATGCCGAGATTCCAGATATACAATAGTAAGTCAGACCCTAACTTTCACGTCGGCTTGTACCTGAACTCGATGGCATTATACACCGGGAATGAGTCGTTGCTCTGCAAAGTGTTCCCCTCGTCCTTCGGGGAAATTGCATTGGACTGGTTTCACAAGTTGCCGAAAGAAACTGTGAAAACCTAGGAGGGCCTGGCCGAGATATTTGTGGCCAGGTTTGTGATGAACAAACTACAGCCATCTGATGGCTCTGAGAATCAGTGAGAATGAAGGCCTTAGGGCCTATGCCAAAAGGTATTATGAAGTGTTCAACTGAATACCGGAGTGCAACCAAGAGGTGGCGGTCGTGTCTTTCAAGAATGGCTTGAAAGATGATTGTCCACTTTGAAAGTCATTGGCAAAGACATTACCAAAAAGCATGGAGGAGCTCATGGCTAGAATTGAGAAATATGCCAGAGCCGAGGAAGACACACCGAGGACAAAGGTGTCCAAACAAAAGAAGAGCAACGGTTCGCCGAAGCGAAGCCAAGATAACACTGGATACAACAAACAAGAGCTCAGATCCCGGATTCCAGATCTGGGATCCCAGATCCTAGAAGACATGATCTCGGCCTAGATGGTTAGGTCCGAGAAGACAAGAGCTTAGCCCAAGTGAGCAGATCTCGGATTCCAGATCTCAGATCCCAAATCCTAGAAGACAAGATCTCGGCCTAGATGATTAAGTCCGAGAAAAGAAGAGCTCAACCTAAGTGAGCAAATCCCAGATTCCAGAAGACAAGATCTCGGCTTAGATAATTAAGTCCGAGAAGAGAAGAGCTCGGCCTAAGTTAAAGAATTTTTATATAAGGTCCACAAAAGAGTATGTGGAAGCCATGTAGGGGGCAGATCCCTTGCCCATAGAGCAATATCGCAGGGATTATTTTGGCTTTACATACAAAAGGAAGCTGAAGCCTATGTAAAAAAAGCGTGAAAATATTGTTGAAATCCACCTAAAACGTACGATAGAATAGCAATTTGGTTGGGGGCATCCAACAACAACTTGCTAGGGCTTACAACAAGAAGGTCAGCCCAAGAGAGTTCAAGGTCAGGGACCTCATCCTGAGAAAGGTTACCGGCAATGGGGCATATCTGTGCGATAGGACCGACCAGTCCTATGACGATGTTTCTGATTGAAACATGACGAGTAACTTGGATTTATTATATGGCAGAGTTTCTACTTGCGTATAGTAGAGTTGAACCAAGTTGGCGATGTTTTTGATTGAAACATGACGAATAATTTAGACTTATTATATAGCAGAGTAGGAACTTTACTTGCATATAATAGAAATGAACTAAGTTGGCGATGCTTCTAAGAGAAACATGACAAATAACTTAGACTTATTATATGGCAGAGTAGAAACTTTAGTTGCATATAATAGAGTTGAACTAAGTTGGCGATGTTTCTAAGCGAAACATGACAAATAACTTAGACTTATTATATGGCAGAGTAGAAACTTTACTTGCATGTAATAGAGTTGAACTAAGTTGGCGATGTTTCTGATTGACACATGAAGAATAACTTAGACTTATTATATGACAGAATTGAATTATACTTGCATATAATAAAGTTGAACTAAGTTGGGATGACTGGACTTATCATATCGGCAGAATCAGACACAGATTGGAACTAAGTGTAAATCAGTCAAATTAACAAAGAGACCAAGGTTGGTAACCTCGGCCAGTCTTTGTTTGAATATGACCTCGGCGACAAGGTCAAAGCCACATGCTTAATGAGAACCCAAGTGGAACTTAAATTCACATGGAGAATCAAGGAGGGCTGGAGAATGATGTTTGGGAGTTGGAATTTACAAGCTAAAGTTGGTTTAACACTTGTTGAAATTTTAAAAATTTACAAATTGAAGTTAAACCGAGGACATGTTTAACACTTGTTGAAATTTTAAAAATTTACAAGTTGAAGTTGAACCGAGGTCATGTTTAACACTTTTTGAAATTTTGAGAAAAATTTACAAGTTGAAGTTAAGTTGAGGTTATGTTAAAGGAAGATGGTTTAACACTTGTTGAAATTTTGAGAAAAATTTACAAGTTGAAGTTAAGCCGAGGTTATGTTAAAGGAAGATGGTTTAACACTTGTTGAAATTTTGAGAAAAA